AAAATTATTTTGATATTTAAAATTGATCGATCATATATTTATCATGGTCGCACTTCAAAGTTTGATATTTAAAATTTATCGATCATATATTTATTATGGTTGCACTTCAACATTTTCAACAAGTTTTAAATCGCTTAAAACGAATATCTGTAACTTACAATACTGAATCATATATATATATATATATATCATTAGTCGAGCCGAGCCATAAAGCCATTTGACTCAGCTCAGCATGCTTGTGACCGGTAAAGGCAAACTACCACTTTTATTTATGGTGGTAGTAGAGGTAGATAGAAATAGTCCTTTCAAAGAGGAAAAAGTCATTATCTTGGATGTAGAATTAATTTGCCGTTTTCCAATAGTAATATTTAGAAGCTTCACTTTGAAAGGAGCCTCCATAGACTTTTCTCCACCAAAACTCTCTAGATGCAGAGAAAAATTTCTTAATTTCCTTCATATTATATCAACAATAAACCTGGATACGGCTTTAAATAATACGAATTCTTGATGACTTATTGGGTTTGGCTTTGAAATTACGTGGTATACACATTGAGATGTTTGTGTATATATAGAGAAAAGGTTGTCTCGAGAAATAGTCAATCCAGTTACCCTTTCTCATATACAACCTCTTCGTTCTTCATCTCGTGCACAATATGGCGGCGACGGCGGCAAATTTTCATACTTTTCTGGCAATTCTTTTGCTGTTGATACCCATAGCAGCAAAAGGAAATAGTATTTTCCCTCCTTTTATTGGTACTGTCTCTCACTCTCATTTCCAGTCGATAGCATATAAAACCGCCTTACTGAATTGAGTTTTTATCTATCTCTGTGTGTGTGTGTGTGTGTGTGTGTGGTGGGTTTCAGACAACATATGTGAAGAAGTGCAATGTGGAAAAGGAACTTGCGAGGCAAATCAGAGCTATCCTTTTAGCTTCAGATGCAACTGCGAGAATGGTTGGAAGCGCACGCGTCTTGAGAGTGAACAAGATCTTGAATACCTTCCTTGCATCATTCCCGATTGTAATTTCTTAACTTCTGCTTGAAATTAGTTAGTACGAGAATTGATTTGACCATCATAGTTAGTATGAGAGTTGATTCGACTACCATAATTACTTTGATCGTAAAATTTATTCGAACTGCATAAGAAAGCACTTAGGTGACACGTTCTTATCGAATCACAAGAAACCCACTATTTATAATTAATTATAAGTATTGACAAACATGGCTTACTGATAAACTATTATAAGTTATTTTTTTATTTAATAATTTTCATTTATTCATCTGCAGGCTCCCTTGACTACTCGTGCATGCCGGCAGCGTCACCACTTCCACCGGTTCCCTACAATATATCTTTCTTTGACCGTAATTTCTTGACTTGACCCAACCCGCTCTTCCCTAAACGGGTGGATTCATATTCTGATTAAATTTAGTTACAAAATACATTTAATTTGAAATTTATATTTTGGAATAGCATGTTATTGGATCTACTGCGGGGAAGGGACGTGCACGAAGAATAAAACATATACGCACACATGCCAGTGCAACAGCGGCTCTAGTAATTTGCTCAATATCTCGGCCTTTCCATGCTACAACGATTGTAAGTTTATTGATAAAAATTTAAGTCAAATCAATCTAACTTAGTTAACGAAAATTTATTTATTTATTTATTTATCGTCGACAGGTGCCATTGGATCTGATTGTCAAAGGCTAGGAATTCAGACCTCCCGCTCCACTTCCAGCCCATCTTCAAATAATAATAATGACAATAATCAAGGTGAGGAATTGCACTCGAATTATCCTAAGATGAAATTCCACTATAGACCAAATGTCACATGTACATTTCAAGATTAAATCTCGTTATTGCACATTATTGAAGAAAATAAATGTGTTCGTGGCGCCTTTTAAATAATGCGGTTTAACATAAAATATATCATTTCATTTTGTCATTTTCTCTATTCAATTTTCCATAATTCAACATAAAAAAATTATATGTTTTCTTTTTATCAGGTAATTTAATCGTTTTTTAAAATTCATTATCTTATATTTTTAGAAATTATGATAAATATTGTCATTTTCTCTTTGAAAACGATATCAAGAATTTGTAGGTAGGTATTTTGAATAA